GAAACGACGTTAATTAACCGGTGTCTGGCAGCGCGAATAGTGGAAGTAATTCGCGATAAGGTATATCGCAAATTACACCAACTATCGCGACGATTATGTCAAATCGCGGTAGACGTCAGGGTCAACGCTTCGAAGCTATTAGATAGAGGAAAAAGTTAAAGACTTTAACGAGCGACGAATATTCTTGAATTTCAATGAGAATTCCTGGCGAAACTGAATTTCTCGGCTGGCCCGAATACAAGCGGAACTACGCGCGACTTTTTCGCGGGCGTGAAAGAAATTTCGCTCGATTTGCGAAATTTCTTATTCAACGGGACTCGACATTCGGTCGACCCAGCGAGTAGAAATCTAGGATCGACGATCCTCGTTCGAGGGAACCGTTACGTCGTTTCGAAGCACACGAATTCGTGTCGGTCGCCGAGGACAAAGTTTCGCTTGCATTTCTCCTTTTCCCGCGCGGATCGAATCGGTTTTGCAACAGATACGCGTGATCAAGGCGAGGAAGAGTCAGCCGCCGTGTCATTTCTTACCGTTAAATGGCACAGCGATTAATAAATATTCATCTCCTCGCCCGTACAGCGCTGCGCGTGCACTTTTGCGCGTCTGAACGCTTAGCCGCGGCGAAAAGGCGAATAGCGTAATAATTAAGGCTGTGTTTCAAGCTCGACGTCTCTCGCTAAGTACCTAACTGTATCCCGAGGCGTTGCTCTGCGACTAAAATTTAAAGTCTCGTGGAAAAAGTCGGTCGCCGCGGAGCGTCACCTATCTTCAGCTTCTTATGAGAAATTGCGCTTGCATGCGCGCAAGAAAAATAACTTGCAACATAATTATATGGATTATGCGTTCATTAGAATTTATCGAGCAAGTAGTTAACGTCGTAATAAAACGAATACTTTCCCAGGTGCCCATAATATTAGCCCGAAAGGAGAAATTTCTCTTCGACACGTGCTATCTCTGAGACCCTCGGAGCAAAACGCGTGGGACGATCTCCACGACCACGTAGATTAAAACGAGAAAAATAGCACAGGCGGTATCGGAACAGGCGGTCTTGTGTCACATTTAAACACTTTCACGACGACGAAGGAGCAACGCAGCTTCCATGGAACGATCTTGATACGTAGGCGACTCGAGGAAAGAATCGCATCGATATTATCTGACGAACAGGATCGTTATCCTTGGGAACGGTGCTCGTTCGCTGCATTATAATTATACCGACCGATTAAGTCATCGGTCAGAGTCTATGGACACGTCCGACGATCAGAATGTCGAAATCGAGATGACTTGGTCGAAATCGAGCTAACCACCTCGATAAATAAGGAGGGAAATCAGGAGCAGCGATGGGCCGTGAGTTTTGTCACTTTCGAGGTCCTTTCGCCTCGATCTCGCTACGACTAATTGCAAGATCGAGCATTTCGAAGTGGGTCACGGGAAAGGACTTCGACGAATTCTGCATTAACCCGTTCCTCCTTCGCGGCTGTCGCAATACAAACGCGTGGGAGTTTCGCGTTATTGGCACGGGAGATACATATGTGCAGAGGCACGCGTGTCACCGTGGCTGTGACGCGTGTGCGACGCCGACTAATTGATAGGTTTTGTCATCGTTTCCTTCTGTCTACCTACCGGATGATATCATTGACACGGTAACACATTTCACGGCGATACCTTTACCGAGCGCCGCGATAATGTTGCACGCGGCCATTTGCATAAAGCGAATGCATGCGAGAGTTGCACATGTGGATGCTCCGTTCCGTTCACCGGTGCAAAAATAATTTCCCCTGAAAAAAGAAGTGGATCGTCATTTCTCAACCTCGTTTCCCGGCCTCCTTCATCCCGGCAGAATTTCTGTCGGCCACGACGGGACAACGTTATCCCATTCGCTAGTTATCCAGTTAAATACCAATGCGAATGGTACAACTCCGTTACATCGTACCATTTGCAGGCTGCTTCCGGGAGTGGTTCGCACGGAGTTGCGGAAATGACGCGGTATCGTTGCATCTGAAATTCGTGGCCGACGAGGAGGGTGGCCAATTTCCGTGACGGAAATTTAGCGTCGAGGGTTGGCTGGTCTCTAGCAGCTTGTCAGCTGCCTGGCCATTCGTCCTCGTGGAGTTAAGGGTACGAGAGGAGGCACCGATGGTAGGTGCGAGCAGGATGCTCACGCTGGCCACAGGTGCATCGCACTCGCACGCTCTCCTTTATTACGTTCCTCCGAGTCGGTCTCTCTCTTTTCCGTCCCCCTTACACTCACCTTGATCCTCTTGCTCGTTAGTAGGCTCAAGACGTAGCAAGGTGTATGCCACGTCGTATTATCCTAAATTCTTGTTTACGTACTTTCACGAGACGTGTGTGGGATTCGTGAAGCCACGGGGAAGAGTACGTTCGAGCTTGGTGATCGACGGTTTCGAATGCTTCGTTCTCGCTAATTCAATAAGGAAACGGTAATACGGAGCGTAGTAATAGCTGCAAAGCACTTAGATGTAATTCGAAAGAAAAAGCGAGGAGTAGAAATGAGCGTGATTCTTCGATTCTTCGAGCTTTCTCACGAAACCTTGGCAGACCGCGAGTTCGTGACGAATCTTTATCAAGATCAAGGCTAAATCGGTAGAGAAAAACTCGCAAGACGAGGAATCAAATGGCCATCTCTGCTAGTTTTGCTCTCTCCTTTTTCACCCTTCGTTCTGCCTCCTTTCCGCTAGTTTCTCCGTTCTCGTCTTCTCGCGGACTCGCTTGTTCATCCCTCCTCTCTCCCTCTCTCTTTATCCCTTCTTCTCGTAGTCTCTCGAACGTTTTCCCTCGCGATCTTCCTCCTTTTTCCAGCCGTCTTCACCGCCGGTTTCCTCCTCATGTTCGTTTTTCCTGGCCATCTTTCTGCGTTCCTTCTGCTCGTTCCCCTAATTGTCCTTCTCTTTTTCCCCGTCGACGTTCCACCGAGCCGCTCTCTCGTGCGTTCTCGATCGTTCCTCTCTCGCCTTCTCCCTCCGTGGTGAATCCTCTTCCCTGCACGTACAGTCGTTAACATTTCGCCGCGCGGTTGATCGCCAGCCCTGACTTATTGTGCGACGTGCCGGGCTCTACGCTCGCGTACGATGCGTCCGCTCCGTGCGTTCGCCATAAGCCGCCGTTGCACGTGAAGGACGCCTTCCGCGAATCGCGTGCACTCGCGTCCCTTGAAAATTCCGCTTCCGGTGCGTCGTCTTGTAATCTTCATCGACGATTGGCCGGGCGACCGAGAGAGCAAAGTATCGCGAAAGTCTCGCAAAGGTATCGCAAAGGTATCGCAAAGGTATCACAAAGGTGTTTCGCGTGCACTCGCGTCCCTTGAAAATTCCGCTTCCGGTGCGTCGTCTTGTAATCTTCATCGACGGTTGGCCGGGCGACCGAGAGAGCAAAGTATCGCGAAAGTCTCGCAAAGGTATCGCAAAGGTGTTGCGAAGGCATTGCCAAACTATCGCAAAGGTATCGCGAAGGTATCACAAAGGTGTCGCGAATGCATTGCCAAAGTATCGCAAAGGTATCGCGAAGGTATCGCAAAGCTATCACAAAAGTGTTGCGAAGGCATTGCCAAACTATCGCGAAGGCATTGCCAAACTATCGCAAAGGTATCGCGAAGGTATCGCAAAGGTGTCGCGAAGGCATTGCCAAACTATCGCGAAGGCATTGCCAAACTATGGCAAAAGTATCGCGAAGGTATCGCGAAGGTATCACAAAGATGTCGCGAAGGCATTTCCAAAGTATCGCGAAAGCGTTACCAAAGTGTCACAAGGGTATCACGAGGGTATAACAAAGGTATCACAAAGGTGTCGCGAAGGCATTGCCAAAGTGTCGCAAAGGTATCGCGAAGGTATCACAAAGGTGTCGCGAAAATATCACAAAACTATCGCAAAGTTATCCCGAAGGACCATTGCTTAGGAACGGACAGGCTGGTTGTTCGTACTCCTGGAGAATCGCATTTGCGACACGTTTTGTTTTCATTGTGAATCGTAATGATAGGATATCAGAGAATGTAATGTTTAAATTTCGTCCCTCGTCGTTCGGGAGAGGCAGCATGGCCGGTCGAAGGAGAGTTAAATTTCCTTGCATGCCTATAATTACGCGCGCAGCAAAACCTGACGATCTTTAGTCACGAAGAAAACCAATTAACCCTCAATTATCTGCTCTACCTGCATACTCTATTCTCAATGTACTACTCAATTACGTTAAGCTATCATACCAAAAGAAGAAGACAAACCTGCGCCTATTAGACAGTCGGTTTTATCATTCCTCCGAGTATCATGCTCTCAATAAAGATTAACGATCCTCGATCATAACGAAAGCTACGAGACTTTTCAGTTTTCGTTTCACCATCGAAAGAAGACATAAAGTGTCTTTCGATAATTTCCTTTAACCCGTTGCATAACCGCTTGCCCCCGGTTATCCTTGCGCTCGAGGAGACAGGAACGGCTTCTTAAATTTCAAAACAACGCGTAACCAGGAAATTGGGTTTTCAGGGCCAGGGCTAACGTAAGTTGATACAGTTAGGTTCGGGTTTATTCGTGAGGGGGTCGCGAGTGCCGACACACGGCTGGAACAGGTGTTCCCGTGCATCGGTGCTCCCGTGTAACCGGTAGAGGTAAGAACGATCGGGTAGTTCTGTCTGGCCCACTTCGAGGATGGATTTTTTGTCGGTTTATTACGAACAAGTCGTCGTCGTTCCTTTCCATACGATCTTTTTACTTTCACTTTCCATTTTGCTCCCTTTTTCCCCGTGGTGCGAGATAAATTTTGACGAATTTTCGTCGTCGCGCAGAGGACGATCGTTCGAGTAACACAGGCCTCGGAGGATGATGTAACAGAACGAACGTAATCCAGGAAATCGTTGAGAACGCACGCAGGTGTGTTTGGTCTCGTGCCAACATCGCAACGCGATGTTCGAGTCCTATTGTGGCAGATTTTATGCCTCTAGAAAATTAACGCGTTGATAGACGTGGATCGATCGATTTTTGATTTCTGTTTCAGCCAAGATGAAACATCTTTGGCCGTTGGTGGTGTGGATACTTCTATCCCTGTGTCCGGTAAGTGGAATCAACAGTTGCTCTAGTGGTATTCTAATCAAGAGCATCGTTCTCCATGGAATTTTAATTAATCCGCTATTTTATTATCTTTTTAATGGCTACACGTGCAAGCATTTAACACGTTAATATATAACGTTCCGCGTTATGCTGGTTTTGCGCCTCCTTCACTGTGCATCATCGATGGTGCATGGAAAAAGGGGTACAGCGGTTGCTATGAAACGTTTTCAAGCGTAAAATACCGATTGTGTTTACTAACTTCTTCAATTTATTTGTTTACATTTCCGATCTATTAATTTGCACTGTCATTTTCTTTATTTGCATCCTCCATTTGCCTAGCTGCATTTCCAGCTTATTTATTTACTCTCGACTCGTCTATTTATTGCACCACTCGTGGAGACTTTTCCAAAATCAGCAAAATTTCATCGACGATCCACAAATCGTGGAACCGATAATATTCCACGAGAAATCGGATTAAACAGTCTCGTGATCTTCCAGGCCGAATCTCTGAGAGGACTCGGCCACGGACTAAGGAGGGAAGTGTTCTTCCTGAACCTCGAGGACGGCTACTTCGGATGTCAGGTGAACGAGTCGACGGACATCCTGCAGCTCCTCGAACTGTCCAAGCTATGCGACAGTAACGTCGACTGCTACCAAGGCACGGACGAGCAACGCAATAGGCTAAAGTGTACAGGTAACGCGTTAAGCGAAGATTTTTCCTAGTCAAGGCGAGCAACGCGGAAAAATAGTCGTCTGACCGGACTCTGGCAGGAAAAGAAAGGATCCACTCGTTCCATGACACGATCGCGCTACCGTTACAATCTCCACTGTTCCTTTACGTCATTCTGTTGTTCCCGACGCCGATTACGCCAGCGATCCTCGCGTGAAACCGCAAGCACACTCACGCCGACGCGGCGTATAACGTCGCCTCGTCACGGCTTCTTCCGCTGCTCATCCGCTGCTCATCCGCCGCCGATTAATCGTCGGCATTCATTTTTTATCGCTATTCCAGCGGCGTTTGCACGCGCGTTAAACACCGTTTTGCCCCAGCGATCACGACGATGATGAACGCGTTATGTAAGGCGGAGTGGAAACGAATTACTCATCGTAATCGTCATTTTTAACGCGGCTTCCCGCGCTGTGTTTTCTCACCGGATGACTAAGGGATTGTGCCGTGTCGCTCGTGAGTTACCCACGATGAATCGGTAATTGATTTCCTTCCACCTTCTGTTTTTCTCACAGACGACTGCACGAAGGAGGACGGGACCAGGTGTCTGAACGGCGTCTGTCTCGACTCCGTCTGCCATTGCAACGACGGTTTCGGTGGTTGCAATTGCCAGGTACCAGGTAAGGCATCCCCGAGGAACGATTCACTTCCTCTTACTTTCAGCCACTCGGTCAGCTACTCCGAGCTGCCTCCGGCGCGACACACGTTGCCCGTATTTCATGCAAATGTAAACACGTTGCAGACGAGAACGAGTGCAAGTACCGACCCTGTGATACATTCGCGCATTGCACGAACACTCTTGGTAGCTTCCATTGTTCCTGTTTCCCCGGCTACCAAGGCGACGGTTTCCATTGCACAGGTATGCGACCACCGATCGTTCCTTGTCGCGGTCTATCCCGTCTAGACCGCTCTTTCATTCCGAGATCGTCTCATTTTTGCCCCGACGCGTGTCCGCAGACATCAACGAGTGCGATAACCCGGTTTTTGCCGCGAGATGCGTCGAGAACGCGGAATGCTGCAATCTGCCCTCGAATTTCCTCTGCAAATGCAAACCTGGCTACATCGGCGACGGCGAGGTCCATTGCGAGGATGTGAACGAGTGCGCGATAGCCGGAGCGTGCGCCGACAATGCCGTCTGCAACAATATTCCGGGGAATTACACCTGTGCATGCCAAAACGGCTTCACGGGAGACCCGTACGAAACCGTAAGTACCTCTGAAAGGCTTAAGAGAAGTTGCGAGAGAAAGAAGGTTCGAAATAAAGAAACGGAAGCAGCACGGATCTGAGATTGTTGTGGAAAGACCATTGCAAGATATCCGGGCATTCTAGTTCCCTTCGTCAACGTCGCGTATTCCTGAACTAATATTTATCACGTTAATTTGTCATTTTTATTTTACATCAGGGTAAAAATTTATACCGTACAACCATACTTTATGTGCAAATTTTGCGAAATTTGTGATATTCGAGAAATTTTTATTCTTTGCGCCAGTTTTGTACCCCTTATGGAGAAAAATGTTCAGAAGTTTGTTCAAAATTTGATAAGTTCACAGCTGAACGAGTATTAACCCTTTGCACTCGGCGATTTTTTCGTTACAGGGGAATAGTAATTCGAAGACTTTCCGCCATAAAGTCGCCGATATTTCTAAAACGTTAAATAAGAAATCGTATGCAAATTAAGACGTGGAATTATTTTATTTCGATATTCCACGCATCGTTGGGTAATTGTAAATCTGATATATTAATTAACGTCCATCTTTAGAATATGATTAAATGGCGACTGAGAGGAGCCTCCGAGTGCAATGGGTTAATTATCCACAGCGCTATAGAAATTTCGCGATACCTGATTTGTCACCTGCAATAATCGTGAAAGTGTCGATGCAAATCAGGGACGTCTGCAGTGAACGTGTTAAGGTAGAATCATGGGTGTCTTCAATAATGTCGTCCTTGTTCAGTGTATCGATATCAACGAATGCAACTACGCGGGTGCTTGCGGAAGGGGTGCGTTGTGCGTGAACCTGCCGGGCTCCCACAAATGCGAGTGTCCCGAGGGGTATAACGGCAATCCTGAGGAAGAATGCGTGGACATCGACGAATGCCTGCGTAGTCCTTGCGGTCGTTCAGCTCAGTGCACAAACGTGCACGGCAGTTTCCGCTGTTCTTGCCCGGAAGGAATGAGCGGCGATCCTTGGTTAGGCTGTCACGGTGGGTAACTCGATTTCTAATTATCCGAAACATTTTCTTACTAAGTTACAAGCTCAGCGGACTCTTCGTGTAAAACTCCATATACTAGCTAAACTGTGCAACATCGACATGACAAGAAAGGTAAAATGCGAGGAGGATAAAAGAGCAATAACGTCCATAAGTAAAGCATTTTAACATTCGTTATGTAACACGGTTAATGTTTTCTTATTAAGTCACAAGCATAACAGAGTCTTCGCGTAATTTTTGCGATTTATGATTCAATCTATGCAATATCCAAATGGTAAGAAAGGTAAAAGAGGAAGGTGACGATTAAATAATTCAACGATGCTTTAGTGAAATATTAATACTGTCAATCATAACACGATGAATGTTTTCTTATTAAGTCACAAGCATAAGAGAGCCTTCGCGTAATTTATGCGACTTGTGATTTAATTTATGCAATATCCAAATGGCAAGAAAGGAAGAATAGGAAGATGACAATTAAATACTGCAACGATGCATCGATGAAATATTAATACTGTCAATCATAACACGATGAATGTTTTTCTATTAAGTCACAAGCATAACAGAGCCTTCGCGTAATTTTTGCGACTTGTGATTTAATTTATGCAATATCCAAATGGTAAGAAAGGTAGAATAGGAAGATGACAATTAAATACTGCAACGATGCATCGATGAAATATTAATACTGTCAATCATAACACGATGAATGTTTTCTTATTAAGTCACAAGCATAACAGAGCCTTCGCGTAATTTTTGAGACTTGTGATTTAATTTATGCAATATCCAAATGGTAAGAAAGGTAGAATAGGAAGATGACAATTAAATACTGCAACGATGCATTGATGAAATATTAATACTGTCAACCATAACACGATAAATATTTCCCTATGAAGTCACAAACATAACAGAGTCTTCTCGTAATTTTGGTGACTTATGATTCGACGTATGCAATATCGAAATGGTAAAATACGAATGTGAAACGCTGCAGCGGCATCCAAGCTTCATTAATAGCGTCACTATAGATAGCGTTAACAAATAATTAACAAATTTACCATAGATTAATCGAGACGTTGTAGTAAAGACCGACTAACCATCACTAACAGATGTAAACGAGTGCGAGGAGGGCACGCCTTGCGGCACGGACGCGGAGTGCGTGAACACAGAGGGTAGTTTCGAGTGCAGATGCCAGGCTGGCTATCAAATGGACCCGACGCACGGTTGCATCGACGTGAACGAGTGCAGTCGGCCGGATGCATGCGCGGAGAACGCAAGATGCATCAACGTGCCTGGATCGTACAAATGCATCTGTCCCCAGGGCTTCATCGGTCAAGGACTAACATTGTGCGAAAGTCAGTCATCATCTAACTCATCTTATTAGAAAAAGAAAATCAAAACAAAAAAAAAGAAAACCATAGAAAATCTGTCAATCCTGAGATTTAATTTTTAATAATCCAGTTCCAGTAACAAAGGATAGAATTAATGCTCATCGTCAGATTAACCCGTGTTGATTAACAGATGTGAACGAATGCGAGAGAAACCCTTGCGGAGAGAACGCTGAATGCAGCGACACGATTGGCAGCTTCGTATGCAGTTGCAAGGCGGACTACACTGGGGACCCGTTTAAGGGATGCAGCGGTTAGCAACTGAGATTATAGTTTCTTTTCTTCCTTTTTGCTTTCTTGGGGTTCTTTGGTTCGGCTGGAATCAGCAATGTTCGAAAGATCGGAGTGTATCTCACCTTGTGTTTAGACGTCGAAAATCGAGGGTGTTTTAAGGCAATGGGACGATGTCAATCGTTGTACTATCTTCCTAATCGGTGTTGATATTTTTGATCAACGTTAACTCGAAGATCGGGTCTCTGTTTCTTAGACATCGACGAGTGTACAGCGTTGGAGAGCCCCTGTGGAAGGTACGCTATTTGCAAGAACAGCGAGCCCGGGTACAACTGCGTCTGTCCACCGGGATACAGTGCCAATCCCAACCCGACAGTCGCTTGCGAACAGGTGATTATACCGTTTTTAATCGCTTTACCATTTTCTTCCCTCTCTACTGATGTTCCGTGGCATTACGAAAATTACAGACCGACGTGACTACGCTTTGCAAATCGAACTTCGACTGCGTGAACAATGCCGAGTGCATAGAAGGACAATGCTTCTGCAAGAACGGGTTTAAGGCTGTTGGAGCTGAATGCGTGGACGTAGACGAGTGTCTTTCGAACCCCTGTGGACCTGCATCGATCTGCAGCAATACTAAGGGAAGTTACCATTGCGAGTGCGAGTCTGGTTTCGTTGGAACTCCACCACACATACCCTGCAAAGGTACGTGAATTTAAACTAAGTGTAAAAGAAATAATATTAATGTAGGTCATCGTCTGTGTGGACAGCGTCCTCTGTGTGGGTATGAATGTAGAATGTATGGGAATGCTTTGACCCTTTCTCAAAAAGAAGCGACAATGAACAGCGGCCTCGAGTTCGGCTCAAGCGTTCAGGCTGATACCTGGAGTGCGTGCGAAAGGACGAGTGACCGCGTGTAAGGATAGCATGAACGGAATATTTATGGCAGTGTCGAATGCAAGTGAAGAGTGAAAGTTTAGAAATGCGTCCGAGTGTTTAGGATACGTGACTCACTATGGGCGAGGCTACGAGCTGTGCGTGAGAAATGCATGATTGAGGAAGAAAGCGTGAGTATGACAGAGGACAGGGTGTAAAGTTTAAGTAAGGGTGCAAGAATGCGGGCGTGGGTCAAAAAGGAGAGTCAGCTGCGAATCAGTGAGAGTTTAACATTGAGAGCTAATTCTATTGCCCATCAATTATTCCTAAATTAATATTATAGGGTTGATTGTAACCGTGTTTCTATTTCTCACAGCACCCTGTGACGAAGTAACTTGTGGAGACCACGCGTTCTGCAAAGCGGATGGCCACGAAGCTTATTGCATCTGCGAAGATGGCTGGACCTTTAATCCGAACGATATTGCTGCTGGATGTGTTGGTAAGTACTTTCAAATTTTTTTTAAATTAATTGGTACTTTAGTGTCATGTGGATAATGAATAATATATTTTTCTTTGAATTAGATATAAACGAATGCGACGCGATAAATGGTCCTTCGGGACGTTGCGGTAAAAATGCAATTTGTACTAATACTCTGGGTGGATTTAGTTGTCAATGCAAACCTGGATTTTCTGGAAATGCCTTCAAACAATGTCTAGGTACGTAAAGATCCAACGCTACATCTGAATACTGAGGAAGTAGTTGTTATATCGATATTATTAATATCCATGTCTCATTCTCGGGCTAAAACAGACGTAGACGAATGTGCCAAGCTAGACTCCTGCGGCCATGGTGCTACTTGCACCAACACCGAGGGTTCTTATTCGTGTACCTGCCCAGAAGGCACTATCCCGGATCCAGACCCTTACATCAAGTGCGTCGGTATAGTTACTTGCGAGGTCGATGGCGACTGCCCTGGAAATGCCATTTGCGATCCACAGAAACGTTGCCTGTGCCCTGAACCCAACGTTGGCAACGACTGCAGACGTGAGTACAGGACCAAGCTGCAACTTGTCAACGACTTGTCGGAATTTTTCGATTTTTCCTAAATTCCTGTTTACATGAAATTAGATCCATGCGAGGACCTGACTTGCGGACCGAATGCTCACTGTATGCTGTCCAACGACGTGGCTACTTGTCTCTGTCGCAATGGTTACACAGGAAAACCCGGAGTGAAGGGAGGCTGCAGGGACATCGACGAGTGCGCCATTAATCCGTGTCCTCAAGGGGCAATTTGCAATAACGAGCCAGGATCCTTTTCCTGTCAGTGTCCCAGTGGTACCACAGGGGATCCTTACAGCGGTGGCTGTCAGGAATCGAAGGCTCCTCATGTCTGTGGACCAAGCACACCGTGTCCCGCTGGAGAACAGTGCATCAAGGACGAATTCGTGGGTAGCAGCGTGTGCATTTGTCAGAGAGGATATACTAGGGATCATGAGACCGCCAAGTGTAGAGACATCAACGAGTGCATGGAGCTCAGAGATAAACCTGCTTGTGGTGTTAACGCCATTTGTAAGAATTTACCCGGAAGCTACGAGTGCCAGTGTCCACCTGGGTTTAACGGCAATCCGTTCTCTCTGTGCGAAGGTGAATATATTTATCATACGTTACTGGTAATTCTTAAGTAAAAATTGTTAAACCTATGTTTAGTCGTGACTAGAAATATCTCTAATTATTTTGTTATATTTAATTACATTGCAGAGTGCAACAGCATCGAGTGCCAATGTCAGCCTCCGTATAAGATCGTCAATGGTAAATGCATGCTGGCCGGATGTTCCAAGGGTGAGAAGTGTCCCAGTGGTGCAGAATGTATCACTATTGCTGGCGGAGTCAGCTACTGTGCTTGTCCCAAAGGCTACACTACCAAGGCTGACGGTTCTTGCGAAGGTTCCTGTCAAATCTCTATCCTCTTTTCTCACCTGAAATTCACCTGTATAATTCAATGAACGTTAATTTACAGACATAAACGAGTGCATCGTTGGACACCAAGTGTGTGGCTACGGAGCAGAGTGTATTAACCTTCCAGGATCCCATCAGTGCGTCTGTCCACACGGTTATGGTGGAGACCCATACAACGGTCTGTGCTCTCCAGCTCAGAAAAGATGCACGAACGACAACGAGTGTAAGGCCAACGAGAAATGCGTGCAGCCTGGCGAGTGTGTCTGTCCTCCGCCATTTTACACGGACCCTCTCGATGGAAACCTCTGCAAGAGTAAATATCTTTTTACGAGATTTTTATCTAGAATTCCAGAATTCTTTTAAAACGAAACAAAAATCCTGTTTTAATTCTTAGATCCTTGTGACCGATTCCCATGCGGTATCAACGCGAAGTGCACACCGAGCGATCCACCAAGGTGTATGTGCGAGGCTGGCTACGAAGGAGACCCCCAACATGGCTGCGTCGACGTGAACGAGTGCGCGAATAATCCCTGTGGACATGGCGCCTACTGCATCAACACCAAGGGCGACCATATCTGCGAGTGTCCAAAGGGTACAGTGGGCGATCCTTATGGCGGTGGTTGTACCGGAGTCGTTGTTCCAAAGAACGAGTGTTCCTCTAACGACGACTGTGATAACATCTTCGCCTGTGTGAACGGCAGATGCGTGAATCCTTGCGACAATATACCCTGTGGGCCAAACGCCTACTGCGAGCCCGACAAGCACGCTGCCTGGTGTCGGTGTGTTATCGGATTCGTAGAAGGCAAGAACAACGAATGCGTTTCACGTGAGTACTCTTGCGTAATTCCCAAATGAGTCTAAAATTACTCGAATAAATATTTTGAGGCTTTCATTAATAGTCGGTATATAATTAACGGGTTCCTCGTGGGTTCGTTATTCGAGTAAAGGAAGGGTCTAACGAGATAAACCTATTCCAAACATAACACTTAAATCTTCTTATCCAGCTTAACACCTTGACCGGTGTTAAGTAACCAGAATATTTCGCACGGATGTCTTAATGAATCGATGGAAAGAAATTGTCAAAATTATTATGCAGAGTGCGATGGCTTCGTCTGTGGCTCTGGGGCACAGTGCATCGTGAGCTATAGCGGACCAACGTGCAAGTGCATCGAGGGTTTCATGGGTAACCCGTTCCCTGGCGGTCAGTGTCAACCGGATGTCTGTTCTCCGGAAGTGCCCTGTGCGGAGCCAAGCGTGTGCATAAGTGGAAGATGTAAACGACGCTGCGAAGGCATCGTCTGTGGTGTTGGTGCCTCTTGCGACCCGGCGACCAACAAGTGCGTGTGCAATCCGTATTTCATCGGGAACCCTGACCTCCTTTGCATGCCTCGTAAGTATTGCAGGAAGTAAATTTAATTTTAGATTTCAATTAAGAGTAGCAGCGAGGCGAATCGGTGTGCGTCCTTACTTCTAAGGGAGTGCATAGAAATGTTTGGGCGGTTTCTTGAAAAGCAAGAGATAGCAAACGGCGGCATCATGTTCGACGCGAAAGAACAAACGATAGCGCCAAATCCTTTTGTCGGGATGTCTGTGACTATGTCGAATGATTGAAAAGGAAAGCATGTGTATGAAAAGAGATAGATTTGGCTTTAAGTAAGCATGCAAAGATGCGAGCCAGCCAGAAATGAGAAGAATTGAGAAGTCAGAAGTAGGCAGATTTGAACTGAGTTAGAAGGCTGAATGTGTGTAGAGACATAGTGAATAGAGGATCGTGTGAGAAACTTAGTGTAATATTTTAGTTGAAATGAGACCTGTTTTGTTACAGAAAGAGAGTTATTGTTTGCTAGACGCGCAGATCTCTGTCTGCATAGGGTTAATTTAGCCAAAAATCCTGCAATATCGATTAATATCTGCTTCCTTCGTCTTACAGCGATTCATCCAGCTGTCTGCGACCCTGCTTGTGGATCCAATGCTCACTGCGAGTACACGTTGCAAGAATCAAAGTGCGTGTGCAATCCAGGTACAAGTGGAAACCCGTACCACGGTTGCGGGGTGCAACAGAAGTCTGATTGTTCCACTGCACTCTGTGGCAAGGATGCCCACTGCAACGCTGGTCCGAATGCCGTCGAATGCTTGTGTCCTCCTGGATACGCAGGAAATCCGTATATTCAGTGTCACGGTTTGTACTGTCAATTTCTAATTGCACGAAAGCAGAAGTTACTTTGCTCTCCAATTTCTAATTTCAACAGAGGGACCGAGAAGTCCTTAATAAATGCACACTGGTCATCTTTTTCGAGCAAAGACGTCTATTGTTTCAGATATCAACGAGTGCAATGGAAACGCTTGCGGTGGTAACGCGGTGTGCATCAACACCATTGGTAGCTACGATTGTCGTTGCAAAGAGAGCTTCTTCGGCAACCCCTTCATCGGTTGTCAGCAAGTCCAAGTCGGTGCCTGCACCGACCCTGCGACCTGCACCTGCAGTGACTCGGTTCCCTGTCCGTTCGATTATAGCTGCGTGGCTGGCAAGTGCATAAATCGGTGCAGTGACGTGAAATGTGGTCCCAGATCTGTTTGTCAGGACGGTACTTGCGTTTGTCCACCTGGCTACAGCGGCAATCCCAATGACCTAACGAAAGGCTGCTACCTTCATGGCCACTGCTCGAACGATCTCGATTGCGAACCTCAACAAATCTGCTTCCAAGTTGGAAAAGGCGTTAGGAAATGCGTGGATGCGTGCAGCAAGCTCCAGTGTGGTCCCAACGCGTTGTGTGTCACTCAGAATCACGTGTCTTCGTGCTTGTGCGTCGACGGCTACCAAGGGAACCCTAGCAATCTGATATGCAGGAACACCTGGATGTAACCATGATTCGGATTGCTCGGAAGGATTCTTCTGTATTCTTCTGGACAGTGGTGCTCGCGAGTGCGTGAATCCGTGCAGCAAAGTGGTCTGTGGAGCTCATCAAAAGTGCGAGCCTGACATAATCCCTGGTCATGCCACTTGCAAGTGTCAAGACGGCTACGAGTGGAATCCGATACTGTCATCGTGCGAGAAACCATCCGTTCCTGATTGTATATCCGACGACGACTGTCACATCACGGAAGCTTGCAGACCTGATGCTCTCGGTGTGTTGAAGTGTATCTCAGTGTGTCGAAGCTTCACCTGCGCGATTAATTCTCAGTGCGTGGCTGAGAGACACCGTGGTCGCTGCGAGTGTCTACCTGGTTTCATCGGCAATCCAAACGATCGTCAGGGTTGCCAGACACCTAGAAAGGATCAGTGTTCCACCGACAGTGAGTGTCCAGAGGATCAGACCTGCAGGAGCACCAAGGAGGGTCTCCTGACATGTCAGCCGGTCTGCAATTTCGTTTCATGTGGTCCAAACGCTTTGTGCGTGGTTCATAATCACGTAGCTAATTGCGAATGTCCACCTGGCCTCTACGCTGGTGATCCTAACGACGTGGTTAAGGGATGTCGAGCGGTTCCTTGCGTCTACAACATCGATTGTCCACCTACTCAGCTTTGCAATAGATTGACGCACACTTGTTACGACGCTTGCGACGAAAATGCTTGCGGCGTGAACGCCGTTTGCATCGCGGATGATCACAGAGCGATCTGTCAGTGCCCACCTGGACTGAAACCTAATCCTGTTCCTGACGTGGAGTGTGTCGCCATCGAAGCTTGCCATCCTAGTCCCTGTCACGAAACGGCTCTGTGTGTCCCAGGACCTACCAATAATCCCGTCTGTCAGTGTCCATCGAATTTTGTCGGGGATCCTTACTTGAAAGGTTGCCAACCGGAAGGCTACTGCGCCAGTGCTAAGGATTGTCCAGTGCATTCCATCTGTCACAACCATCGCTGTGCCAATCCCTGTGAAAATGCCTGTGGATCGAATTCCATTTGTGATGTCATTAATGGACAACCCACTTGCAAGTGCATTCATAAATTTATTCCATCCTCGAAGGGTCCACAAGATGGTTGCGTCCGCGCCTCGAACTATTGCAACGTCGATGCTGATTGCGAGGAAAGCGTCTGTCTCGAAGGACAATGTATAGGTAGGACGTGCTTCTATACTTAATTAAACATAAATATACTCGATGCAACAGGTTTTACTCAGAAAGATGTTAAATGTTACAGCTGTTTGTCGAATGGCCACCGATTGCTCAGATGGTGAAAAATGTGTGAACAACAAATGCATGATCCCTTGTGTCACTCACACGCAGTGTCAGACAGATCAGGCTTGCGTCAACGGACTGTGTATTCTGGGTTGTCGAAGCAACAAAAATTGTCCTTCGACGGAATCCTGTATCAATAATAAGTGCCAAGGTACCCCTCTAAAGAGGGAGAACAAAATTTCATTTATTCCAGTAGGTCTTTATAGGTCGCTAACAATGAGCTATACCCTTTATTTAGATCCATGCAAGAGGAAGGATGTCTGCGGTCCAAACGCGATTTGCAGCTGCACTAATCACGCCACGACCTGCACCTGTCCCCTCGGTTTTCATGGGAATCCCACTCCTCAACAGGGGTGTGTCAGAGTGCCAAATATCTGCGAGGGTCCACAGGACTGCCCCAGCCAGCACCTGTGTGTCTCTGGCTTCTGCCAGTGCCAATGCAGCGAACAGAATAATTGTGCCGAAGGAGAACGCTGCAAGAGTGGAATATGCGTGAAAGTGTGCTATAGCGACAGCAATTGTTTGCCAGGTGAATTGTGCATCGACGGCGTGTGTGAAGTAGGTTGCACCTCGGACGTTGGTTGCAACGATAACGAGGTGTGCATCAACAACAAATGCAAGTGAGTATGAAATCGAACAGAACGAGAAATATTTCCAATTTTACCTTTAGGTATTTTATTGTATAATATAATTTCGTATTCGTAACAATTTTCTTTTTCTAGGTGCAGTCACGGGTTCATCGCTGGACCAGAGCACTGCTTAGACATCAACGAGTGCGACGATCATCCGTGTCACTCGAGTGCAGAGTGCGTTAATCTTCATGGGTCCTATCGCTGTGTCTGCCCACAAGGCACAGCTGGCGATCTCGTGGGATCTGGTTGTGTAATCCCTCACCAGTGTACAGTGCACACGGATTGTCCCGATTCGCAAGCTTGCATCCAACACAATTGCACCGACCCTTGCTCTCAGGTCGACTGTGGGCTGAACACAGTTTGCTCTGTTCTCGATCACACAGCCGCCTGTCAGTGTCAACCTGGTTACATTGGAGACTCTTCTGGCTGCTTTAAAGTGGAATGCCTCTCTAACAACGACTGTCCCACTGACAAGTACTGCAATCAGGACACGAACAAATGCAGCAGTAAGTGACAGACAGATTTATGAACTGATCTATTTGGAAGCCTTGTTTAAATTTTTATTATTAACATTTAATTTATCCAGGTCCTTGCAACCAAGTCAACTGTGGCTACGGCAACTGCATAGCATCTGATCACACTGGAATATGCAAATGTTATCCTGGCTTTGAACTAGTGGGTGACATTTGCGGAGACGTTAACGAATGTTTGGAGAATCCTTGCCACTCTTCTGCAGTGTAAGTAACTCTCCTAATTTGAGACTCTTTTACGTCCAGTCTCAGTTGAGTTTGCAGAGAAGATGTTCAAATACTCCTTTACAGTTGTCAGAACACGGAAGGCTCTTACGCTTGCGTCTGTCCTCACGGTCTGGTTGGAGATCCTTTCAAGTCAGGCTGCAAACAACCAGGGGACTGCTTCACGGACTTCGATTGCCCGAATTCTGCCGCCTGTATTGACAACAGATGCTCCAATCCCTGTGACGTGTCATCTGTCTGTGGTAAAAATGCTGAGTGCTTCGTTCGGGATCACGTTCCGCTTTGCAGGTGTCCTGGCCAGACCACTGGCAACCCAGCGGTAAGTACACGTTCGAGCATTCGAATTAGAATGATCTTAATCCGATTTTGCCCTAATCATTACAACTCGTGTGTTATTTATCTTCAGTCGGAGTGTATTCACCTGGAGTGCAACTACCACAGCGATTGTAGCGCTTCAGATGCATGTTTCAATCACAAATGCGTCGATCCTTGTTCCCTCTCCAACGTTTGTGGGCAAGGAGCAGATTGTTCTCCTCTAAATCATAGCGCTGTGTGCACCTGTCAACCTGGTGGCACGGGAGATCCCAATCTGGGCTGCACACCTGTTCAGTATTGTAAATCAGACTCCCAATGTGCCACAGGTTCAGCTTGCAATGGAGGAATATGTACTGGTAAATAGATTTCAATTTCATCGATAAACTTGAATTTAATCAGGATTGAATCACAATTTTCTGCATCTTGTTATAGCGCTCTGTGGTAGCACAAGAGATTGCATTGGTGACCAGCTCTGCATCAATGGCCTCTGTCAGCCTACCTGCAAGAGCAACTCCAGCTGTCCCGAGTATCAGTACTGTCACAATAATATCTGTGTGCAAGAATTGCGTTGTGTGTCCGATGATGACTGCAGCGTCGACGAAAAGTGTATCAAGAACAACATTGGTCAAGCAGAATGTCAAAAGTCTTGCGACCTGGTCCTCTGTGGACGCAACACCGAGTGCAAAGCGGACAATCACGTCGCAGTTTGCTCTTGCAAGCTTGGATTCTTTGGGAATCCTAAGGACGATAAGATCGGTTGTCAACCTATCGAGTGCGAGATTAATGACGACTGCAGTGGAGAGAAGATTTGCGATGCACACAAGTGCAGGATCGCTTGTTTGGCTTACAATCCTTGCGGAGTTAACGCTATCTGTACAGCGGAGAACCATGTCCAGGTGATTAGTTGTCTATTAAACTATGGGTGGTACAAAATTTATTTAAAACAAATTTTATTATTGGCTATTTTATAGATTTGCACATGTCAACCTGGTTACACCGGAGAGCCCACTCACGGCTGTCAACTAATAGATTACTGTCAGAATGAACCTTGCGCTCCAGGAGCTCTGTGCGAAAATTCCAGAGGATCCTACAAGTGTCACTGCCAACAGGGTATGGTCGGAGATGCCTACAACAGCGGCTGCCAACCACCAGTAGAATGCTTACAAGACGAAGACTGCCCACTCACTGCCAAGTGTATAAATGTCAACAATGTTCCTAAGTGTTTCGGTAAATTCCAAGTGTTCAATTTTGAAATAGTCAATTTCGATCTTTAGACGTCATTTAATGGTTTTAAACGTGACGTGGATACCGACTGAAAATCAATTTGTCTTACGCCCGGTGATTCTGACTTTCTACCTGACGTTTCAGATGTTTGCTCACGCACACAATGTGGACCGAACGCGGACTGTGCTGCCGCTAATCACGCTGCAGCCTGTCAGTGTCGATCGGATTACGAGGGTGATCCGAACAATCTAAGTATAGGCTGTCGACCTAAACCGGTTATTTGTTCGTCAGCCGTAGACTGCTCGCCCAATACCTACTGTTACGAGGGGATCTGTCGACGTGAGTATTGTCTAACGAGCTAGAGCAATCGTTCGATGCTCTGTGCCCGATCGTAAGGGACGTAATTTGAAATTCTTCCAGCGTCCTGCCAATCGGACGAAGAATGCAACTTGTCAGACGTGTGTCTGAACGGACAATGCTTGGACCCTTGCAACGTGAGAGCCGCGTGCGGAATAAATGCGGAATGCGACGTGAGGAGTCACATTAAGCAGTGCAGCTGTCCACCTGGGTTCACTGGTAACTCGGAAGTGGAATGCGTGAGACGTGAGTTAAAAATTTTGCAAATTCACCCAACAAATTCTCCAAATATCCCGTACACTCAGAAAATATCTATTGGCAATAAAATATAATCAAAGACGAATTTTTATTTAAAATGAAATGAAAATTACCATGGACAAGTTGTCTGCTGGAATATTAAATTTTCTTTATTATAGAATTATTTAAAAAATATCATTTTCATGCAATAGATTATTTAATTTCTCCATGTTCGATTCCAGTACCCGTGTCATGCAGAGACACCAACGACTGCAACGATGGAAATACCTGTCGCGACAACGTGTGTCTTCCCATTTGCTCCAGCGACACCGAATGCGCGTTCAACGAGAAATGCGTCCGTGGCAATTGCCTGCTGACTTGCAGACTAGACAACGACTGCTTCCTAGGTCACATCTGTCTTCACAATATGTGCACCTTCGGTTGTCGCGCAGACGAAGACTGCAACGCGAACGAGGCGTGCATCACGAACAAATGCATCAACCCCTGCGAGGCCACCCCCTGCGGACCAAACGCCAAGTGCACAGTGTTCAACCAACGAGCCACTTGCTCGTGTCCAGCAGGCTTTATACCGAATCCAACCGCGAAAGTGGCTTGCTTGAGATCACCCGGCACTGTCTGCCAAGCGAACAGGGACTGTACCACGGGAACAGCTTGCATAGGCGGAGTCTGTACCCCGGTGTGTTCCACGGACATAAACTGCCTGAGTAACGAACGCTGCGATCCCTCAGGAATCTGCAAATCATTATGCAGAAGGGACGAGGATTGCAGAAGCGGAGAAATCTGCGAGGGACTGGTTTGCGTGATTGGCTGTCGCGCCGATGTGGAATGCCAAGAGAATTCCGCTTGCTTGAATAACCAGTGTCAAGGTAAGGAGTCGGGAAATACGATGATGCTTATTAACATAATTGAATTGCATTTTAAGCACGCTTTTGTCCACGTCTCGTAGATCCTTGCTCCCTGCCCGATGTCTGCGGTGTGAACGCCAAGTGCGCGGTCGTAAATCACCAGAAATTGTGCTCTTGTCCCACCCCATTAGTCGGAGACCCTCTAATTGGATGCAAACAGGCGTTCCTGCCTTGCAGCACGGAACTGGAATGCGCGACTGGTCAGACTTGTTACGGAAGATCCTGTTACGCCACGTGTAGGAGGTAAGGCGATTAGGCATTCGAACGACGCGATTGCTTCTTGCTCCCCTCAACGACTCACTTTATTGCCATGTAAATCATTTTGCAGCGACGCTAATTGTCTCAGCGACGAACGATGCGACGGCGGAATTTGCAAGGCTATCTGTAACAGCGACGATCATTGCGTAGCAAATCAGATCTGTCAGAACAGGTTGTGCGATATTGGCTGCCGCAGCGATAACACTTGTCCCAATGACGAGTCCTGCATAAATAACAAATGCAAAAGTAAGAAGTTGTTACATCTGACACTACAAATCCTGTCCGACTGTTTGCTTAATTAATCCTTGGTTTTTGACTTGCACAGATCCCTGTGAGGGTGGCAAGGCTTGCGGAGAATGCGCAGGGTGTCGCGTAGTAAATCACGTGGCACAATGCAGTTGTCCTGCCAATTATTATGGCAACGCTTTGACCAGCTGTGCCAAGTCCATGATCCCATGCGACGGTACCTGCGAATGCGACGAAATTGGATTCTGCACTAACAGCTGTTACAGCCAGGACCAGTGTTCCTGTGGAGAAGTGTGCCATACGGGAAAATGCCGAATTAAATGCGACGTTAATAACTATTGTCCAAAGGTACTGCTTCTAACATTTAAGAATTCTAAAGAAGACAACCAATTAAGAATGGGACTCGCGATTAATTTGCATACCGATCAAGCTATAGATAGACAATAGTTCAAACGTTAGTCATATGACTGATCGAATTCTTATGTCAATACGAATGCTATCTCTTTCCATCAGGGTTACGTTTGCGACGAGGGATTATGCCTCATCGGCTGCCGCACCCATTCCGACTGCCCATCATCTCTATCCTGCGTCAGCGGCCAATGCGAGGATCCATGCTCAGCTAATGGATCTCCCTGCGGAATCAACGCCCTGTGTCGCGTTTCGAATCACAGAGCAGTTTGCCTGTGTCCAGAAGGCTTCCAGGGAGAACCAAGTCAAGAATGCTACCAACTGGAGTGTCATAGAGATGACGACTGCGAGGCCAACAAACGCTGCAGCGAGGACGGAGTGTGCACCAATCCTTGCCTGCAACATGGCGTCTGCGGCTTCAACGCGCAATGCAGGGTGGTTAATAGGAAAGCTCAGTGCTCCTGTCCACCTGGACACTATGGCAATCCCAAGATCAACTGCAAGAAAGGTAACAGATACTACCTATTTTCCTATACTCTCTGACAGAAATACAATCTAGGTATACCAATGGTGTTTCCAATTCGTGTTTCAGGAGGGGACGAGTGTCTGAGAAGACCCTGCGGAGTGAACGCGAAGTGCAGGGAAACTCTGAACGGATTCGAGTGCACTTGTGATCCAGGATGCCACGGAGATCCTCATCAAGTCTGCATCTGCGACGGAGGGGAACTGTGCAAGGATATGCGTTGCGGAGTGAATGCTGCATGCAGGATTTACAAGAATCAACCGCAGTGCTATTGTCCGTCGAATTATCCCTCTGGCGACCCGATGCATGCTTGTGAGTATTCGCCTCGAGTATCGAATAATAACGATTTCGATGTAAATGCTAAAATTAAAGATCCCGTTCCTTTGTGTCACGAGAGGATTGCTCCATTGGTATTTGAATAACAAAGGAACCATTTCCTTTGTGCGTTTGTAGCAAAGAAAAATGGAAGGTGTAGTCTGATCGTCGATTGTTTTTCCCTTTTCTGTGAAATCGTCACGCGTGCCTAATCTTTTATTGTGAGCACAGGTAGCGCGGACAAAAGCTTAGGCGACTGTCGCACGAACGGCTGCGGCAAGGGAGCAGAATGCATACGAGACGGTGCGATATTCGTGTGCAGGTGTCCACCTGGTACCAGTGGATCGCCGGATATCGAGTGCACCACAGGTAAGAGACGGCCTACTAACTGTTTAACCGGGCAGATCGATTAATTTCATGTACAGCATTTGTGACTAGCGAGCAATACTGACGAAACAGAGGAACATGGTCCGTAGAATAACCATGTATTATCGTCTTTAGTAGGACTTGAAGTAATACCATTAGAATGTATTAATCCAGTGAATCGTTTAACAATCGAGAGACAGATGTGATTGGACCAGTTTCTTAGACGATTCTATATACGCATATATATATACATATTGTACAAAACGATACAATGTACGACACTGGATTTTACCCACAAATGGTCGCGCGAAACATATACCTGTACATATATATCTATACAGTTAGGCAATACTGTACATAATGTGTCCAGGAAAGGAGGAACACGTTTCACACATGTCTCACACATAACTATTCATATGTAGAATGTTTATTTCAGTATCCAATCTGTCTTGTGGAAACCGTGTGTTATGTCGAGAAATATGCTCTAACGGAAAAAAAAAAGATAAAAAAGATAAAAAGTAATAAGATAACGAAACGATAAAAAAAAAAAAGTGAAAAAGTAGAGACAGAGAGAGACAATATATGCAAATATTTCGATTGCAACGACATAGAGAAAAAAAAAAGGTACACATCTTACAGAGTATGAAACACCGATGATCCGTTTTTTTTTTAGACCTAGGACTAATGATACAGATTGGGAACTGCGAAAGGGACATTCTCATATACCCATGCTTGTTATTTTTTTGCTGGATTTATCCACTGTTTTACATTATTTTCCCTCTTATTTTCTTTTGAATTCTGTGGGGGCTTGTGTTGTAAATATCGCTGCTTGCCAATTTATACGTACATATATATATACACTCGTATGTATATATATTGATTCATTTCTCT